AATTTTAATACTTTAGTTATTTTTTTAAATTTACAAACAAAGTAAGCATCTTTAAATTTATTTACAATTATAAAAAATTAAAGAAATTAAAATTAAAAAATTGCTCAAAATTTCAGCACAAATCAAGTATAATAATATCCAGTCATAATGACCCCATGGCAATTATATAATTTTTTGTTTATTTTCGAACATTAACTAAATGTTGTAAAAGTGATGAAATATTAACAAAAATTTTCTAAACACAATTTTTTTTATAATTTACAAAATTGTAAGTGCAGGCCTCCTCTCAAACACCTTTCTATATTTCTTTCACTCTATTACGAATTCGCTCACTTCCCCCTCACCCGCCGCACAACCACCTCCACACATTTAAGTGCGCTGAGCGGTCATTTTCCGCAATCGCGCACCTATTCGCTGATCATGAGCTCGTCGGAGGATTCGAATAATCAGTGTTGTTGCACGAGTCAGCCGCACTTGCAGAGCGAGTCGCGCTATCGCATGCTAGCGAAAAGTTTCAGCTGCGATAGCGATTGTCGGCGCGTCTTGCCCTGCAATTTCGTGCGTCGCAATCGCGCCCTGGCACAAGTCGTCGATGCTGCCGCCGATGCTGGCGACACTTATTGTTCACTTTGTTCCACCAACACATGGATACCGGCCACGACGGCGACCACAACCACCTTCTCGACAACGGGCACTCAGCGCACTGCAGCCACCTCGAGCAGCTCGACTTCGGGTTGCTGTGGCGGTGGCAAGGCGGCACGTCCCATCTGGGCTATGGATTATTTGCGGTAAGTAATAATGTGGCATGCGGCGTCATACATACAAACATACATACCTGTAACTGCATCAGACAATCAACATATCATCATCTGCTCGTAAGCATCGTTTGTTTGCCGTGTATCCTGCTGCAGTTTGCGTTTTTTGCCGTTTCCGTTTCCGATTTTACTTCTAACTACATAAACGTGTAACTCGTAAACCTAACATATGTAACAGTGGATGCGCTTCTAAATTTTGGAATTGGCGCTCTTTGCGGCTGCTACTCAACACTGACACGGTTACTCTAACAATCTTACACACACACACATATGCTCCTACTCTGTTTACATGGACACGAGTTACTTGATTTTCCGTTATTAAGCATAACTGGTCGTTGTATTTGCATTATTTTATGGTCCAGTGTGTTTTGGTGTTAATTATCCGATATGCTAATTGTTTAAGAGTTCATGTCTGTGTGCCTCATGCTCGTCATACACGCATGCACATACATGCATATGTTTGTATGTAAATTATTTTGCTGGCACGTAATTTAGTATGCTGAATGTAATTAACTTTTCTGTGTAAGTATCGAAATATTTTGCGATATCATTACAGTTACCAAACTGCTCATTTAAATACTTATTCATAAAATTAGTGTTGCTTTGCGAAATTCACCCAATATAACCATAAGCGCTTAATTTAAGTTTTAGTAATGCCACTATGTTATATTTATATTCTATTACAATGACGATATGGTTCGTAAAATAATCAGATTATTTATATACTCTTATAAGTCAAAAAATAAAAAATAAAAAAAAAATAAAAATAAAAAAAAACTGGTACGATCTATATATAATTTGTTCAAATATTTTAGCAATGCTTTGAGTAACAATCTGTGTAAAATTTTGAGAAGATACCTTGTGATGAAACAGTTTTTCATAAAACGATTTGAATTTTATCAATCATTATATGCCATAGCGGCTCGATATCGGCGAGTCCGAAAAATGATCGGCTTCTTCAAGAAAAAAAGAAGTGGGCCAAATTTCGTATCGATATCCCAAAAACTGAATCAAATCAGCTCAGTTTGCAAGTATTTAAGAAAAATAAATCTTGTCGTATTATTCAAAGTATTGCTCTGAAACTATAATATTGTCAAGAATCAAGAATCAATCAACCCAATTTTTAGTACTACAATGGGGGTGCACCGACCGGAACAAATGGTAGTCAAAATGAGAAATGACTGAGCTGACGGGTAATGCAAATCTTCCCAGCCACTTTCTTTTTCGAAATGGTCAAATTCCCTATATGATTGATTGTATATAATGTTGACTTAATGGAAGTCAACCTAGCCTACCATAATAAAAACATTTTTTTTTTTGTGACAAAATTCGTTTTTATATTCAATTGCGTTGCTTTCAATGGTGCTACCCTGATTATAGCGGTCCTCTAACTTTTCACTATCATTCTTGTAGTACCACTTGTACTTTGCTTCAAAATAGGTCTCAGTTGCGGCGATCATATTTTTCTTTGACGAAACTTTCTTCCCAACAAATATTCTCTTGAGGTTTGAGAACAGCAAATAGTCATCACCAGAACTGGAAAATGCGATCCATTATAAGCAATTCGATGTCTAAATCATAGATTTTTACCTTCAGTGCATTGTATTGCTGAAACGTCACTTTCATTTTCTTCAAATATGGCCGTTTTTCGGCGATTTCGTCCTTCAAATTGTAGTAAAACGCTTTGCAATAGACGCTGTTGGTCTTCCTTTTTCAAGATAGCCAATAAAAGTATGCCATGCGCATCCCTAAATACAGGCGCCATAACCTTGCTAGCCGACTGTTGCGTTTTGCCACACTTAAGATCGGTTTTACAGTGTGCAGCCCACTCAAATGACTTTCGATTGGAATTCGGAGTGAAATGATGGAGAAATATTCATTAATTGTCACATATCGGCACATAATCTCGGGTTTATTACACTTCCAAATCACTACTTCTGACTAGTGCAAACCACTTTTGGCACTTTCACTAAGCCATAGCATATTCACCATAAAATTCCACAGAAACACATTGACTTTCAGCGCAGGTTTTCTTCATAATAAGTACAGGAACTCCCCGCAAAAAGACAATTTCAATCACAAATTTATGTCGAAATTGAGTGAAAAATATTATAATTTTTTAAAAAGTCAAATGTCTCCATTGGCGAACCGGCCGAATATACTTGTAGCTATAGGCCCCATATTATTATTATCTATAAGGCATATCATCATTTGTATATTTATCAATTCCTTTACCTGCTTAATTTCGTATGGGAGGGAATGGCGGAAAGCCCACAAGCACAGAAGTGGAGATCTTCTTGAGTTAAGCTTAACTGATCTCTAAAAAAGATAGCAAACAACTAATACTCTAATACACAAATGTCATCAAACATGACTTCAAAGCGATTTCCATCTGAAAAAAACCAGATAAGTTCCTAGATTAAGTGGTATTCTTTTCTAGAGTCAAGATTTTCAGGTAATTTTTGAATTGTTGTACAAAGATAATTATTATTTTTAATATCTATATTTTTATTAGTCATTTATTTACATTAGAAGCAAAAAGGAAAAATTTAAACAAACACATTTTTTCCACTACTTGACTGTTGAAGCTGTATGGTATAGTAATCCGAACTGAACAATTTCTTCGGAGACTACATTATTGCCTTAGAAAATAATCTATTTCAAAGGTCGTGAATATATCTTGTCAAATGTGAAAGTTTTCCATGCAAGCACTTGATTCCGTTCATTCAGTTTGTATGGCAGCTATATGATATAGTGGTCTGATATCGGCAGTTCCGACAAACCAGCAGCTCCTTGAAGGGAAAATGACGTTTGCAAAATTTCAAAACGATATCTTAAAAACTGAGGGACTACTTCGTATATATACAGACAGACAGACGTACAGATAAACAGACGTACATACAAACAGACGGACATGGCTAAATCGACTCAGCTCAACATGCTGATCATTTATGTGTATAAACTTTATGGGGTCTCCGACGCTTCCTTCTGGGTGTTACCAACTCAACAATATATCCTGTTCAGGGTATAATAATAATATTATAGTTGCCTTTTACGAACTAGCCATAACTGTAGGTAACCCTTAGTTGAGAATGTTAAAATTACAGATTATTTAAAATTAATTTCTTATCATTAATTTAATCAATTAAGAAATAATTGAATTTCATTTACCACATCAATAGCCATATATTAATTAGGTAATAATTTATGTTTAATTTAACTGCATATAAATTACTTCATCATACAATTATATTAATTATATTATATTAACTTAATGTATTGAAAAATGTAAGTAACAATATTGTCAGCTGTTATTTTTTAATGAAGTAAGTTATTAGTTCATGTGAATAAAAAATAAAGTGACTCAATTAAAACCTTAATTGCATGGAATTAACAAGCACTGTGTCACTAATTTATGTATGCAAGGAAAGTCTCTCAGCTGTAATCAATTCAAGCTGCTCATAGGAGTAGTGAGAGAGTAAGATTGACTTTAAAATGCCACGATAAATGATGATTTGAGCCGAGAAGAGACTGTGAACTTTACGTTATTTACGCAGCAAAATACTAAACATTTAAGCGCGACATAGCAAAAAGTATGTACCTGTATATATGGTATGTGTATATATATGTATACATATATATATATAGATAAATATATATATAGTTCAATTGCAGTAGGCTTCGGTGTAGTTATTTCGAAAATGTTACCGTTAAATAATAACAACGATTTGCCTTTGTATGTATTTTTAATATTATATGATTTGTGTTGATTTACCGTTCAATGTGGCTCATCGTCTATGAATTTGCTTAAGAAAATTTAAAATTATACTTAATTTAAAATCACACCAATCCGCAACACACTCCTTTCCGCTCCTTTTAAATGCACTGTTTATTAACGCTTCAGTTACTCGAAAATCAATATAATATAATATAAATTAAGACAAGTTGCAGTTTGCCGTTAATTACTTTGAAAAAAAAAAACAAAAAAAAAACACGTAGAAAATACAAAAGCACAACTCATGCCGTATCCAATATGTGTCGTCTCTTTTCCTATCTATTGCAGCATCGTCAAGGGTTTCCCGCCCGTCTCGCCGTTCATCGGTGTTAGTCCGACGCTTTGTTACTTGCTCAAGGAGAAAAAACCATTGTGCTGTCTGCAGCTGGCACAGGTGAGACGTGAAAATCAATAACTGCACACATAGCGGTAAATTAATGTATATTGTACATATATACAAATGTGCTTATGTTGTTGTAGGTGTGCGAGCACTGCAGCTATCGCAATGCCAAGGAGTATCAATGGCAAAACAAGACGATTATTCTGGCAGCGGATTATGCATCGAACGGCATTTACAACTTTATCATACCGTTACGTGCGCACTTTCGTTCGAAAACGTCATTAAATCCGATTATATTGTTGTTGGAGCGTCGACCGGATGTGGCCTTTCTCGATGCACTCTCCTACTTTCCGCTGGTGAGTGTCACTTTTCACAACCGCCATGAATTCAGTTCGTTGGCGATATTCACAACTGAGTTGGCAATCGATTGGAAAGTTTTATTAATGAGTCGTAGTGTAAGGAAGGGCAGAATGAAAGTAAAAAACGGGTTTCAGAAAAAAGAATTATATTGTAAAGTTTATAATATACCAAATTTGTTTAAAGTTACACCTTTCTCCGCTCACTTTATAAATATTTAATCCTCTGATTATTAAGCTGAGGTATCTAAGAGCGTAGAATAGAGAACTTGAATAATTTATGTTAATTTGGCGAATAACACGCGTGGTGTTTTGCTCCAAGGCCTGGACGGAATGGGAATTGACGGCGTAGATTTCAGACAATACATATCTTCACAGGAAAAAGTCTAACGGTGTGATATCATATGACCTTGGTGGCCCGTCGATCGGCCCAAAAGGTGAGATTATCTACTGACCGAAGTGCTCTTTCAATAAATTCATTGTTTAATACGGGAAGTAGTGCCACCTTGTTGGAACCAAATGTCGCCGAGATCACGAGTTTCGATTTCAGGCATAAAATAGTCGGTTATCAAGGCGTGTCAGTGGTCGCCAATGACGGTTACGTTCTCAGCGGCACAATTCTTGAATAAATGTTATTTTTTCTGAATGAAATACTAGCTTTTGGATCTCTTCAGCTTGCTAGATGAATATTTATTGAGCCGGCTAACTCCAGCCAATTTGCCGGGTTCGTAGTATGTATAGTAATCTAGATGCTTCAACTACAGTCTAATAAAATGTGAACAGTGAAGGAGAAAGTGTTATGATATTTCCACCTCATCTTCTTCATTGTAACATTGGCAAGTCGTTCCACCCTCACCGTGTGAGTGCCAATACAACAGTGTCCAGCCTGCTAAGAGCTAACAGTTCAATGGATCTTTTATGTAACACTTTCGCTTTCGCCGCCCCACAAGTGCTGGTTGCTGAGTATCGCTTTCTGAGCTCGGGCAAAGCGCATAGTCCGAATGTAGGAAGGCAGGGAAGTTCCTGCTCGTTTCAATCGCAATGGGAACTGGGTTAGAGTGTTCTTTCCTGCAAACTAATCGTATTTACAGTTTCCGACGATTCCGTTGTGACCTAGGCAAATTCAATATAAAAGTAGTTTGATGCTACTGCTAATAAGCTCGTACATTTCTTGACCATCCTCGAGCTCACTGTCAGTGCGTTCACGGTCCACTTTCTTTCCAATCAGAATCCATACACACCTTTCTAAAGGAAGCTGTATTTCAAAGAAGTAAATCTGCTGTTTTCGTTATGGTTGTCACTCCGCTTGAAAGACACTACCGTAAGTCTTCAACAAGAGTTGTTTGATAAGGCCGTCAAAATACTCTACCTCCAACTTTCCTCTTGGGCTTTGATCTATTCGTAAAAAATTCTCACTGCGCCTCTTCGTCTTAGACAACATCGTCCCATCCAAATATCGCGCAAAATTATGTATGTGGAAAAGATACCGCTAGTAGTCTGTTCTTCAGCGCAGGGTCCAAGTTATGTGGGATGCATTCGAAGTGAGAGAGAATTTCGGAATCTACCTCTCAACGAAATTTTATGTGTTCTGTTTTCTGCAGTATGACAGCAACCCTCGCAGCAATGCCAATGCTGGCTTTGTCCATGGGAGCTGCATTTAGAATAGTGTTAAGTGAGAGCCATTCGCTGAATTTGTCCTAGCTATTTAGCGAGTGTGCCTTAGCGAGTGCTCTCCCTGAGAAAAATATACCATAGAACGGTATTGGCTTTACCACTTTTGAAAACAAAATCACAACTTTTTGTGAGGGAAACCAGCGCTTTATTAGCTTATTTAGGCAACCAATGTCTTCCCACTTTTTTCTCAACTTTGGACTCCTATTATAGCTTACTATCAGGGATGAGACCCAAGTGCTTCACCTTTCGGGCGAAATCCAGAGCCAGTCAAATAAGGAAGAGATGCATCCGGCATTTTTTACCTCCTTATAAATAAAAACAGTTATTCATTATTGGTTTTGACGAAACTCTCACCCAGATCACTACACATACTTTAAGATTTAAAGATTAAAACCATCTGTGAGCGGGATAGAACCGTCGATGCAGCCGAAGTTGAATTTTCTTCATGCTTAAACATAATTTCGCCATATATGTATGTTCACATAGGTATATTGGATGCTCGGTTCTATCGACTGCTTGGACGATCTGCTGCGCGCCGGCATCACCTTAGCCGAGAGTGTGGTGGTGGTGAACAAGGAACTGTCCAACTCGGCGGAGGAGGACTCGCTGGCCGATTGCAACACCATCGTCGCCGTACAGACAATGTTCAAGTGAGTATAAAATTCCCTAAAATACACACATATACATTTAAGCAAATAATCCTCTCCGCTCCTTCTATTTGTTAGATTCTTTCCGAGCATCAAGAGCATAACCGAACTCTCGCAGAGCTCAAACATGCGTTTCATGCAGTTCCGTGCGCATGACAAATATGCGCTACACCTGAGTAAAATGGAGAAGGTACGAGTATGAAATGTAAATATTTTTATGGTTGACAAAAAGCTGTTAACGTCAGCGAATGATAAGTGTTAGAATTATCATGTATACATATATTTACATACTTCTTCTTTTGAAATTCTTCCAGCGCGAAAAGGAGCGCGGCTCTCATATTTCCTACATGTTTCGTCTGCCTTTCGCTGCCGGCGCCGTTTTCAGCGCTTCCATGTTGGACACACTGCTCTATCAGGCGTTCGTCAAGGACTATGTGATCACATTTGTGCGCCTGCTGCTGGGCATCGATCAGGCGCCAGGCAGTGGCTTTCTGACATCGGTAAGTAGACAATGAGAAGATAAATGCCAACTGATTGGCAGGGCAAAAAAATGTCATTCTGAATAATAAAAACTTCTGTGTTGTGTGTCTGTGTCTGTGTCTTTTTTATAATTGGATTGTATCATCGAAGATTAGGGAGAAGTTTGGTGATGCTTCCAGACCACTGTGACTTTCGGGCAGAAACCATTGTCAGCAAAATAGTTGTAGATCTACTTCCTACGAGTGCAGTTTCTTGCAAAGATATGAACATTCCCTCCGATGATTAGTCAAAGAGTACATTCTGCTTCTTAACTGACATAGATACCGCTGGGCAATTTTAGCTGAATTAAGAACAGCGCTCCAGTCGTTCTTCCCTTTGCTGTTTGACTTCAATTCGAGATACCAAGCGCTGACAGGTCTTTCGGCACCTGATCTCTCCAACGTGGTTGAGGTCTTTCTCTTTCTCTGCTTCCACTGGAAGCATTCTTCTACATTCATTCATCACTTCTACATTCAAAGTTGGAAAGTTCTCTTCCATCTGGACAACATGACCTCACCAGCACAGCCGCTGTCTATTGCTTAGCTTAAATATAATCGTACAGCGCATCGCTTCATCGACAGGGGAATTCGCTGCTGCCAAAGTTCAAAAGAGCATAAATCTTCCGCCAAACCTTTCGTTCGACCGTCCCTAACACCAATTCTTCAGATGTTTTCAGCGTCATGCCTCGCATTATATAGTAGAACGGGAATGATGACGGACTTGTAGAGTTTGGTCTTTGTTCGTCAAGAGAGAACTTAATTTTTCTAATGCCTTCTCAGTCCAAGAAGCACCTATTGACAAGAGTGATTCTGCGTTGGATTTCTTGGCTGGTACTGTTATTGGTGTTAGTACAAGTTCCTAGGTGGATAAAAGTACCTACGACTTCAAAGTTATAACTGTCAACAGTGCCGTGAGTGCCAAGTCGCGAGTGCGATGACTGTATGATGACAGCAAGTATTTAGCCTCTCCCTCGTTCACAACCAGACTCATACGCTTCGCAATTCTCCTGCTATAGATTGAGAAAGTCACATGAAAGAGAGCTCCTTGTGTGAAAGCTCGCTCGGTATCGAACCGCTCGGAGATGACCTTCCCAATCTTTCTCTATTTTCTTGAGGTTTAGTACTAAAGATCTGAATTTCGGGAAACATGGTCTACTACCAGCACTTGTGCGATTCGAAGTTCCTTCCGGCTTAGATCGCAAAAAATATCTTGATCTTGTGGAACACTTCCAAATTGGCCTCCATTTGGTATGAAAAAAATTATTGTCACCGCACTTTCTTTTCAAATTTTCCTCTTTCGAAAGACTAAAGTCGTAATATCCTGGGTTTCATCCGAACCATTATGAATCTAAATTAGTCACGGTTTTATCGTATGGACTTAACTATCCGCAAAGTAATATTTCCTCCACAAATAACTAAATTAATGAACAAAAAAAAATGTATTTCCTTCTAGATGCGCATCACCAAAGACGACATGTGGATACGCACCTATGGTCGTTTGTATCAGAAACTCTGCTCGACGACTTGTGAAATACCGATCGGCATTTATCGTACTCAGGACACATCAAATACGGAAGCGTCACATGTGAGTAATTCACCTGTAGAGAAGTGGGGACCGTTTTCCGCTTTCGGAAAGCACTGTGTGCGCTTGCGACCATCGGTGAGTCCATAACGAAGCAACCACAAAGAATAATATAATGCAAAATAATATCAAAATTTGAAAAATTCAAAGTGACTTTAATTAACAAATACTACTTATAACTATTACTTACTACTTGCTTAATTACAACATAATAAATTGAATGAGTAATGATGAGCACCCTTTAAATACTACTAACATACATACATACATACATACATACATTCTTACATACAAACAATAGCATTAAAAAACTATCCATATAGAGATATTTCTTTTTCGAATACTGTAGATCTGTCTTGATACACTTTTTGAATACCTACATAGCCTCTCACTCAAACATAACCTTAAAATAGTACCAAAGAAGAAATTTTATGCTACACTACTTTAGTAAAGGCACCTTTTTAGAATAGGTATTTGCGTTAGATGAGTGCATTGTTTGTACTATATCGAATGTTGCTTATAAAAGGTCTACAGGAGTATTTTGCCTTTTGCATTTCCTGCACTCATTTCTCAATGACTAAGTTTCCTAAGTTTAACTGCTGCACTGTGAAGAATTCATAGTTACTACTAGTATCACCTTCCTGGTTCTTGAGTAGATAATTAAAATAGTTTCTAGGTTAAATGTTGTGAAAGCTCTCGGTGAAATGTCCCATTTGATTAATTGAAACACTTTCTTAAGAAATAGTTGCGAAGGTATCTAATAACAGTTAGAATATATAGAAAAAAATAATATAATGAAAAAAGCTTTTTGGGATGAATATACGCTTTAGGTATCTATTGCTGTATCTCGAAAGTATTGATATTTATAAGTCAGATTTAATACAAAATGTTCCAGTAACTGCTTCTTAATTTATTCCAAACTGGTACTAAAGTAGCAATACGCCTCGTGACAGATATTATATCGGGAATTTTCGTCACAGTAGATACGTTGAATCCGCGTTTGCGGCACTTTTAACTGAAAGCTCTTCCACGGAACCATCTAATTATGTATTACTTCATGGAAGTGATAAGACATTTAAGTCCCCTCTATGTCACGGTCTGATGGTTACCTAATCAAATCTCAGTAGCCGCTTCGCTGACAGCTTGTCATGTCTCAGTGGACTAACACATGAATGTCGTCAAATTTGACACTTATAAAGCGTTGGCAATAAAAGAATACATGCTCAAAGTCTTCAAATCGCACTGAAAACGTCGTGCATTTTGGATGAACGTCGTGCTGGAACCTGAACAGGTAGCTTTTAAGGCACCCGTGGGCATGGGTTAGTATTTGGGTTAGGTGGAAATCCAGATCCCCATTTTGGATGTCGATCCACGAATGGATGTCTACCATCAGTCTGTAGATCCAATGTCTTTTGAATGAAGTTTGCCATCGCTGCCACTATATTGTTAAGCTTTTGACTCTCTCTTCTCTTTTGTCTCCTAAATACGGCTCTGATATTTTTTGTATTCGCTCGCATCATACTGGCTATTACTTCAACAGCGTCACTTGATATTGTTTGAGCATTTTTTTTCGCTTTGCCCGCAGTGTATTCTAAAGTAAAGCGTGTTTTCTGGGGCATGTGGTTTTCATAAACATAAGGCGAGGGCCTCGAATAATTCCTACTGTTAGGCACAATTTTTGGTTACTTTTTACGGCTAGAATATCCGTATGTCAGTAATAACGCGCCGAATATACAAATATTCTTTCAAGACGTCAATCGTCACGAAATTATTTGCGTAAACAACCGAATTCTTATAATCACACAAAAAATGATTCAACAGTGCTAAATGCCATGATTTTAGAGGCCATATCACAGACCCACGACGCGAGATTATGCGCTCACCAAAAGCTTCCTTCAATAAATTGACTATATGTTGACTGTAATGCACCTAAGGTCGTACCCATCCGTGGTTCAATTCAGGCACGAAAAAGTCATAAATCATGCCTTTATGGTCTTTCCCATTCCCAGCATTATCGCTGAGTTACTTTTTTGAAGAAATATGACCCAATGATTCCCTCTGCCATAGAACCAGTCACCAAACAGTGACTTTCAGAGAATGTATCGGCGTATCAGCAATGGCTCCCGACAATCTTGTTCGGTAATACTCAATCTTTGTTCAACCAAAAGAGAGTTGCATCGCTGAACAAAATTTTCTTGTGAAATCGGTGACCATATCGTTTTAGGCCGATTCATCCAACGTGCGACTTGCTTAATGATCGTTTGACTTCAATTCTTGCACGAGTTGGATTTAATAAGCTCGCAAACCAAGATTATTCTCCAAAATCTGCATATGGTGGATGAACTCAGTCGGGTCTTGCCATTTCATTCAATTTCATTTTGGAGGGGGAGTCTTCGAAAGATACCGGACGGTGTGCACTATTAGTGTTGACCAATACGCTTATGTACTAAACCCTTAATTCCAATCTAATCCTCATTGGTTGTTTCTGGCACCACGCAACTGACGTTGAGTATTACATCGTGAGCCCAAGTTAGACCCTCGGATCGTCAGTCACGCCCTTCTGTCCTACTTCTCATTTACTCTTCTGTTTTCGCTGGTTTGCCACGTTCCGTTGTCAATTTCTGTAGAACGGCTCTCTCTTCTTTTCATAGCGCATAGCGGGAGAGAAAGAAGATCTGCAGCGCGTTTTCTCCACCTCTTTCGCATAAAGTACAATTCCATCCGGTCGTCATGGCTATATTTGTAGAAATACTCTCTCAAAACACCCGCATCCATCAAAAACTGTGTCCGGTACAAATCTATTTCTCTGTTCTGTTTCCTATCTCACCATGCTTATAAAAGAGCCTGTGGGTCCATTTTCCCGTTGTGTTTACATGCCATCGTTTTTACCATTTATTCAGGCTTCTTTGCCTCTAATCCTTCCGCTCTTCCACCGTTAAACGCCTCTCCGGTCATGTGGACCTATCGCCTACTCTTTTAAGCACTTTCGTGTAATTTTTATATCGTATCGAGAACATCTCTCATGCTATGTTGATAGATCGCTGGGGTGGGCGCATTGTCTCAAACTTTTTAATTGCAACCCCCAGTTCAGTCATATGTCTCCACGAAATTGTATCGCCTTTGCTAGAGAAATGGTGCCGCCCAATGCTGATCGTATTTCCTCGAGTACACTGCCCCTACCCAAGTTCCCCGATGCTCGCCCGGTGCAACATAGGCTTTACATTAAGGTGCTTCAAAAAAAAAAGGGCACAACACAGCGGACACATCAGTAAGTGAGTCTGCCGATTATGAAATATTAAAAGAATATGTTGCCGCAATGGGATAAAAGCCTAATTTTTGACTGATCAAAATTGTATGTGCCATTAGTTTTTGTTGAGTTTAGCTATTGTTACAATAGGAAATCGTACTTTAAAAAAAGGTATTGTACTACAGATTTTCAATTAATATAAGTTCTCATCCAAGTGTATATTCATGCTTAAAAAAGTAGCACCACAACATATTTAACACCCTGAAAGTTAGCTAAGTAGATTCAAAAGCTAATACAAAGTTCTAATCTCTTTTTAAAATAAAGTGCTTTAGGAGTAAACCTCTAGTTATCAGTTAGCTGCGTAGTGCCTCGAAAATAAAAGAAACAAATACTAGCAATAGGAAACACCTGCACTCTAACAAAAATTATTTCTTAATTGCATTTTGCCTTAGTTTTACTAAATATATTTTTTACATTTTTTTTAAATATTTTAAAATAGTTTAAATAGTTTCGTTTCCATACTATTTAATTAATTCGAATATTTTTTTTTAACTCTACCAAAACTCCAAAAAGCATTTAATCTAACACCAAGCAAAGCCAGCAAAACGCCAACTAAAATACTTTTCGCTTGTATTTTCTCGTAGTTTATATACATACATATTCATATGATTGTAACTTATTTTCGAAAAATATAACTCTACTGTGCTGCGCTAACTCAATGATCCTTGTGATTTTAGCCAAACTTGCAAACTTTTCCCGACTTTATTAAATCGCCACTTTTAACTACTTTCCATTACATAACATATTTTTGAATACTTTCAATTACTTGGAAATATTTATAAAGTTTTTGTATGAGACTTTTAAATTTTTATATTTAGCGGTATGGTTTAATAAATATATTTACATACATATATATACCATATATGAATAAAAATTAGCTTACTTTTATCGAAAATATATATTAACATATGTATATATATAACTGCATTTTTCTATAAAAAAATGTATAAATGCCTCAAATGCTTTTCTGAAAAAAAAACTAGCAACCGAAATTGTTGCAATGTAACAGTTATTATGTTTCTTTTATTTCAATATTTTATTGAGTTAATAATAAAAATTACATTTTTTAGTTTCAAATTATTGACATTTTTTTTCCTAATTCAAAAATTATATTTTGACATTCTACTAATTAAAACTTTTGGTTTCGAAAATATCTAAGTTTTTTAAATTTTAATTTTAATTCTTTCCTAACAATTTTATCCATAACTGATTACATTTTCTCGAAATTCGAT